ACTACATTCTTATACCTTTTTGGTATATATGAAACAATAGTAGTATTTTCTTTGAATTCAAATAAACTTGAATATATTTCTCTTTTTTTATTAAAAAATAATGCAGGTAACTGCTTTTTATTTATTTTAATAGTCCCTACTATTGTTAGGGAATGTGAAGATAATAAATAATTAGCTAATTCATAGCTAGTAAACCAATTGTCCATTGTAATATTTCTATTACATTTTGAAATTGGCTGAATTAATCTTTCAACTACATCAAATGGCTTGTATGACAATTATGGACCTTCTGGCTGATTGCCAGTATATAATTCTGTTTTTAATGTATAAAAAGTTCTAGAATCAACTAGAGCATATATTTTCAGACCATATTTTGATGGTTTATTTGGCATATATTGCCTAATTGGACAATTTCCTTTGAATGCAGGAAGCATTTCATCAATAGTAACATATTGTCCAACAGAATAAGAATTATTGCAATTATCATTAAAAATATCAAAAATTTCTATAATATGTGTGGCTTTAGCAAGTGCTGTCCTTGTATTTCTTGTATTCATATCATCAAATCTAAGCACTTTCAATAGAAATTGGAATCTATTTATATTTATAGTATATCTAAATATATCAGCACCAAATCCATCCTTATTCCATAAATCTCTTATATTTTGATGACTGGATTTATAAACTCCGGCTATCATTAGCAAACCAACTAAGGCATTCAATTCATTTTCATCCATTTTGGCATGATAAACAGAGTCATCCTTTTCAATGAACTCAATCTTTTGATTTGTATATTTTAAAACTAAATCTGTAATATTAGGTTAAATGAATAATTTGAAGCTTTCTAATGGTGATTTTGCATTTTTTGCATGAGATTTAACCCCTGGCAAACATGATATTATATTATGGGATCTTGTCCTTTTTTGTGTAGGGCATTCCATATTCCATTTAGTTTTTCCATCTTTACCTTCATATTTTTATATAATTTATTTAAGACTAGCATATTTTACTGTAACAATATTTATCTTCACACACATCACTATCTATATTGTCCTCCTCTGTCTCCAAGTTGTGATTACTGTTATACAAATAATCATCATCTGACTCAAAATTTACTTCACCTATACAAATTTTATAAATATCAAATATTAAATAGAAAATACTTCCAGAAGTTGATGATATTAAATTTTCCTTATGCTAATTTTATAGTATTTTGCTCCACAAGAAAAAAAATAGTATAAAATTTTAAAATTTTGAGTAACAATATAACAATGATTACAAATAAAATTTTTTTTTTCAATTTTATATATTAGTTTGTAATATACAATAATATTAATTAATAAAAAAAAATTTCGTAAGTACAAAGGTGGGACCTATACTACCCTAAGCTCAACAAATAGCAAATATTTTAAAAAATATCAAATCAATTATCTTGAAATTTGGTAGATATATTCTTTATAAGAAAATATTAAACTACTATAAAAACTAGGTCAAAATATCTTCAGGTTTTTTTATATTTACCCCACCTTTGTAGTAAAGGGTTAAATAAAAAAAATTTTTGAGTTCCTTTAATCATAGAGTTATCATCAAAAAAAAATTAAAAAATGCAAATTTTATTATATATTTTATTAATTCAATGTTGAATAATGATAATTACATAAATTTTATAAAATAAAATATTAATCAACAATTATCATGTAAATTTTTATAATTCACAACAAAAAGTATTCATATGATCTTTACAAATAAATTTAGAACAATTTAAACAAATAAAGGTTGTTTTTTGTCCTTTACTTTTGGGCAATAATAGCATCTTCCTTTATATTTGATGAAGTAGGTTTTCATCAGTAATATTGAAAACATCCCCAATGTTGTTATGTAATAACCTACATACACGAGGGTTCTCATATCTTTTGATCATATATGGAGTAATGAGTTCCATTGCTAATATCTTTATAAATTTAGAACTTTTTATGTTCAATTTATTATTAGCTTTATAAACGATGAGTGCATTTATTATGGATATATTTTACAATTGTATAAAAAATGCTCAAGGGTGATTTTCTTGATATAGAATCAATATATGGAGCATAGTTGATCAACTACATCAACTCCAGTTTTTGTTAAATTATAAAATATTATAATTTCTGGTTTTTTCAAATCACCAGTTGATGCATCAAATTTTTTATCATAATGTAGTGTAGAAAGCAGCACTACATTTTTATACCTTTTAGGTATATATAAAACTAGAGTTGTATTTTCTCTTAATACAAATAAACTTGAGTTTATAACTCTTTTTTATAAAAAAATAAAGCAGGTATTTTTTTTTATAGTTCCAACTAAGGTTAAGGAATGAGAATTTAACAAATGATTGGCTAATTCATAGCTTGTAAACCAATTGTCAGTTGAAATATTTCTATTAGTCCTTGAAATTGGTTGAATAAGTCTTTCAACTACATCATTATTTGACAATATGTAAGATCCTTCTGGCTGATTACCAGTATATAATTCTGATTTTAATATATAAAAAGTCCTAGAATCCACTAGAGCATAGATTTTAAGACCATATTTTGATGGTTTATTTGGCATATATTGCCTGAATGGACACTTGTCTTTAAAAGCAGAAAACATTTCATTAATAGTAACATATTGTCCAACAGAATAAGAATTATTGCAATTATCATTAAAAATTTCTTTAATATATATTGCTTTATCATTTGCTTTCCTTGGTATCCATTGTATTCATATCATCAAATCTTGGAACTTTCAATAGAAATTGGAATCTATTTATATTCATGGTATATCTAAATATATTTACACCAAATCCATCCTTATTCCATAAATCTCTTATATTTTGATGGTTTGATTTATAAACACCAGCTATCATTAGTAAACCAACCAGAGCATTAAATTCATTTTCATCCATTTTAGTATGATAAATAAAGTCATCTTTTTGAAGGATCTCAATCTTTTGATTTGTGTATTTTAATATTAAATCTATAATAATTGCTGAAATAAAAAGTTTAAAGCTTTCTAGGGGGGAGATTTTGCATGTGATTTAACCCCTGGCAAACAAGAAATTATATTATGGGATCTAGTTCTTTTTTGAGGCAGGCATTCTTTATTCCACTTGATTTTGCCATCTTTACCTTAATTTTTTTATATAATTTATTAAAAGATAGCATATTTTACTGTAACAATATCTATAATTATCTTCACACTCATCACTATCTATATCATCTTCCTCTGTTTCTGAGTTGTGATTGCTGTCATATAAATAATCATCACTTGACTCAGAATCTACTTCACCTATATAAAGTGTTATTATCAAATATTAAATAGAAAATACTTCCAGAACTTGATATTAAATTATCCATATGCTCGTTTTATCTTATTTAGCTCCACAATAAAAAAGAATTGTATAAAATTTTAAAATTTTGGGTCACAATATAACAATGAAAAATTTAAAAATAAATTTTTTTTTTCAATTTTATATATTAGTTTGTAATATACAATAATATTAATTAATAAAAAAAACTTTTTTTGTAAGTACAAAGGTGGGACCTATACTACCCCAAGCTCAACAAATTGCAAATATTTTAAATAATATCAAATCAATTATCTTGAAATTTGGTAGATATGTTTCAAATATTAAACTACTATAAAAACCAGGTCAAATTATCTCCAGCATTGTTAATTACCATAATTATAAAAGCAGTGGGGTATTATTTACCCCACCTTTGTAGTGAAGAGTTAAAATTTGTTTACATAATACTATTTTATATAGTCGAAGGTCTCATTTATATTAAACGCTATTTGTTCAAGCGATGCAGGATTTAACGCTTAGTTATCTGCAAAATCAAGCCAATCAATATCTTTAATTTATAAATATGAAGCGAAGCTATGATCGTAACGATAAAATTTGAAAAATATATGTAGCGATGTAGATTTAAAAAATTCAATAGCTTTAATACACATCGTTTCAACAAATCACGTTTACTATAAATGAGGCATAAGACTAAACCATTTTTAACAATTATTAACAAAGAAAAAAAAATTAAATTTAGCTGTAAAATATTTAAATTAGACTTTGGAGCAATAAGAAAACACAATATTCATCAATAAATCGAAATTTAATATAGTTTTGAATCTGCTCAAGCAGAAATCGTCCATCCTGAAAGGCCTAAAATGTATTATATGAAGATATTCTAAATGAAGTACTACACCATCTTTAGGACATGAATTAATATACATTCCAATAAGATGGAACACCTTGTCATACCACTTAATCCTTAAAAACCTTGCAATGATCATAGTATCATTCTGTTATTATTCTCCAGATTTTAATCTTATTGAAAACATATGAGAGCTTAGAAACAGCTATGTAAAATAATTCTTTGAAGATTATATAAACTCCAGCACAGAATATGTGTCAGGAACATATTAATTCGATGCCACTAAAATAGCCGCAGGTATAAAGGCATAGGTGGCTTTAATTTCGAATATAGTTGTATATTTTAAATTAGTATATTTTCAAAATATATAATCGAAATGTAATAATTTATAGTAATTTTTGTTCATTTTATTATTTTATTTTAATGAAGGTTATATTTGAAAAAAATTGTGTGTCCATGATTATTATTTTTTAAATTGAACATATAAATAAACGAAAATATAAGAGTGGTCACATATCAATGAAGCGGTGTACTATATGTAAGCGTGATTTTTTTTGTTGTTGAAATGAGGTCGCAATTAGGATCTTTACTATTTAGGAACTTGAAACTATTTGATTATATATACTGCACTACTGAAGTATAGTATAGATAACAAATATGGCGTATTTTCAATATTTACTAGAACCAGGAATTATCCTTAAAATGTTAGGAACCGGATATTCAGAAGGGGCTAGGCTCCAAGCTATAGTTCTTTTTTTTTCGTTTATATCTTGACAAAAAAAATAATAGATTTATCGTTTTTTATACCTCATTATGCATAATAAGAATTTGATGGACGTCAACTACCTTGGCTCAGTTTACGCCACGAGATGCGTCATCGATAACATGAAAAAGGGCTATACTACTTGTCATAACAAAAGTTTATCCCCGTCGACCATTATGACTATGAAAAATGACGAAGCAGAGAATGGAAACACAATAAGTGATGATACACCAGGCGATAGAAATCTAAGAAATAATTCTGAAAAAGCGCGGCAAACGGGAGCAAACGAAGACTATACTCTGAATGAACATCCCGATGACGCGTCAGCTTTTATCGTATTAAAAACACCGCCGACTTCCATAGATAATGACTCGTTGTCTAGTCACCATCGAAATGGAATTACTATGGAGAAACCAATTGCTAATCAACATTTGGGAACCCCCACAAAGCAAATTTTCCCCAATTTGTCAACCAACTTAACTAACAAGGATATAACTTCGCATAATTATTCCACGAACCAAATTATTTCAAACGGGACGCACTTTAACGATGGTCGTGGTGCTGGTTACAGGATAATGTTTGTTTCCAGTCAAGCCGGCCAGACTGGAATATACGGTTGTTCAGCGTATTGCGCATCCAAGTTTGCCCTAAGGGGTTTGGCGGAATCCCTACAAATGGAGGTAATAATATAGAGGGCGAAGAAAAAGATCGAATAAGAGGGCGGGTGAAAGAAAGTTAGATTATGACTGCCTAGAGACCTGCAAAAAAAACCTAGTCTTTAGATTTTATAACATTTTTTATTTGAAAAGGTTTAATTAATATTAAAACATAACGAAATGAGAATTTTTTAGGCTATGTTCAAAGTTGATTTACCTTTCTTAAGGAATAATATACTACGTTATCAATATCCAAAAAAAAAAGAATATCTAGCGTATATCATTTTGCCCCAAGAATAATATCAATTTTTTTAAAAACAAAAACGAGGATTTCGCTTAACTATAATTTTTATTTCACTTAATAGTAGTTATATTTTATCCGATATTTTTTTAAAAATATTATACGGGGAATAAGGCATTTAACCATGAGATTTAAATTTACAACTTGACTATAATTTAATTTAATAAATTATAAATTAAGTCGATTTGTAACCATCATGACCCCCATATCTTATTGGTAGATTTGATTCATGCTTACTAAGAAGCGGTTATATAATGATTATATTATTATTGTCATAAGGTAAAACCTTACAATATAAGGGTAACACTGGCCTTTCCGCCCGACACAGACACGCCTGGTTATGCTCAAGAAAATTTGACAAAGGTATATTTTTTTAAAACTATGTAAAAAGTGAATTTGTAACTTTAAAAAAAAAAAATTTGAAACTAAAGAATGGATAAGCTAAAAATGAAACAAAGCAATGAATTACGAAAACAATAATAATAATTTGAAATATAAAAATAAAATAAAGAAAAGAAAAGTTATTAGATAGTAAAATTAGTTTAAAATTAGAAACGAGACTTGGATAGGAATTCGAAAATAAATAATAATGAAATATAAATTTTATTCAGAATATATTTATATGACAATAATTTATTCTTCCAAAAGCCCACAGTAACCAAAGACATATGCCAAACTTCCGGTCTATTTAGCCCTCAGGTTGTTGCTAAACAATTGATCGAGGATCTTAAGGTATATAATAAAAAGTATTTAAAAACTTAGATGAATCGTGGGATTATTTTTTTCCTCTCATCTATTCCTATCTCTTATATAAAGATACTTTTTGTTTAAAGTCGGTGGTTAGGGTTAGATTTGAAATCCTCTCTCACCCCCGCCTTTGGTATATCTTTACCTATACTAAAATTACATTTTCTTTAGTAGGATTGTGTATATAATATCTTAAAGGAAACTTAAATGTCTTAGGATAAATTACCCCCTGGGAAATCTCAATATACTCGCAAAATTATATTTATTCATAGAAGGGAAAGTTTAACAGTTATATCGGCATCGATGGATTTTTGCTCAATTCGTTAACCTGTGGTATGTCACCAATCACCACCATCACGGAGGCTATAGAACAAGTTATTTTGTTAATCATTAATATAAAAGATTCATTGAATTTATCTGGTTTGGAAAAAAAAAATTTCCTGATCAAATAAATTATTATGTAGGATTGGCATCCCCTTAAGAAACGAATCGAATTGAATAATACGATATAATTTAATATTTTTAACAAATTATTTTTTTATAGTTGATTATTTTCATTTATTTTTTTTCGAGTCGAAATTTAAAAAACCGAATAATTTTTGCTATTGATATATTCGTAAATTTTGAATCGAATATCAAAATTAGAGAAATTTAAAAAAAGGTGAAAGTAAGGGGTAAATAAAAGGCAAAATGAATTTAATAAACGGCGATATTTTATGTGAGGCATATAAAAATGTTAAATCCCAAATGAAAACTAAGGAACGATTAAAAATCTAATGCACCAATAGGGTAGCGGCCTCATTAATAATTATTTCATATATTTTTTTTATAAGTATGAGCTGATAATATTTATATCCAGTGAACCTATATTCGGCTGCAGAATTTATACCCTATTAATTACTGAGTTTTTTTTAATTATAATGGCCTTAAGCTCCTAATGGCATTATATGATTGGCACTATTTAATATCAACATTTATAGAAATTAATAGAATTATCATATACAATATATTAATCAGGAAATTGTTATAAAGAATAGCTGTTTGCCTTCTAGTCATTTTCAAATGTACATATTTTACAAATGATATTAATTTTAAAGGATATATTGCAATAGTTGTATAATAGGTAGCCTTTTATTTTACAATATTAATATTATTTTCTAATTTTTTAATAATGTTGAACACATAAAAAAATAATATGATGAATAGAAAAATAAAATTGAATTGTTGCAAAAAATGTAATTGATAGCCCCCTAATAAATTTGCCCTTCCCCCCCCCCCCTTGGAAAAATTTTGTAAATAAATTGCTTTTACCCAATACTCATGTAGATCCCGGTTTTATCTCTATTGAAAACATCTAATTTTATAAACTAAAACATGTTTTTTTCTAAAGGTATGTACCATGTCATTATTCCGTATAGTCGGTCTTTTCTACATAGATTCGTTCGATAGGATGGTACGAAAACATGTATTATCCGGCAAATCAAATGTGAATAATTAAAAAAAAAATTAATATTTTAGAAAATTATTGTTATTTTTTTTTATATACATATTTAATATGAATTCCATTTTATTTTGAGATACACATTTTATATACCTAGTTTATTTATAATTATTTATTTATTTTTGATAGACCTTATATATTTTTTTTAAAAAAACGCATACATACTTGGACGTTTCGAAACGATCAATAAACGAATATATGGCATTCAGAATTTGAGTAAGATTTTAAATCGGATTTAGAAATAAACAAATTTAAATATTTAATAATTATTTTTAATTTCACGTATATTTAAAATAAAAATATGCATAAATATAAAATAGATATTAGATGCTTTTTTTAAAAAAAAAATCTTATTTGACCAGCTCTTGAGTTCATTTCTATCCTAAGATTCACGCGTCGTTCATCATAACTATCGCATTGTGTGATAAACGCTTATGTTTCTTATCACTTTCTTTTGAAAATAACAATTTTTTTTATTTTAATCGAAAAATATTTTTCATATCAGAAAATAAAATTTTCTAGAAATAAGAGTATATTCATGTATATAGATAATATTGATATTTTGGAAATATATGTATGATATTATATTATTTATAATAGTATATTCGTTAAACGTTTATATAAGCATGTATAATATCGGGTGGATATGCTTTAACAGCCTAACATTATTGCAATATAGAAACTTCTATTATATATCCTACCTTATAAATGAACATATAAATAAATGAATGAGTTAATTATTCTATTGATATGTGAAATTATCCCATTTATTATATTGGCGACGACGAGACAAAGAACCTGTAATATGAATTTATTGGATGTTTTATGAAATAAATTATGTGGAATGATTAGGAAATGCCATGATAAGTATGAACTATTTTGTAAATGTGATATTTGTTTGAGCAATATTAATGTATTGGATATTTCATTAAATTGAATTATGGATAAAGATAAAAGTATGGTTGATAGAACTTAATTTGAAAAATACATTAATAGTACATGACTGAATTATGATCATGAAATCTGATTTTGAAATATTGAGATAATTATGAAACGGAACAATTATATATGATTTAACATGAACAAAATAAGGAATTATTATAATTGCTAACAACGAAAAATTGATTGATGAAAATACGGTATAATCTATTATGGAAATATGGTGATTTTTGTAAATTGGTTAACAATATGACCCTGAAACAAATTGAGATTATCAAAATTTTACTGAATATGGGATAATTAATGATAAAGTGACAATTACTTGGAGATTGATTTTATGGATTATAATTATTGAACTATGATAATATAGATATTTGCAAAATGGATAATGATAGAGAAACTTGGCTAATTTAGACATAAAAATATAAGAACGGTGGGCTCTCAAATCACGTGACCTGTGCAAAAACTATAGGGGCTTATGTGAGCCAGATGTAAACGTATTTGGGTTAAAGACTAATAATGTATTGTGCTATATATAGGATGATCTCGATCATGGGCCAACTTAAGATGATAAAGATCTCTTTGCCAGCTAGGATAAAATTGACTTCGTGAACCATTCAAGGATGATAGAGATCTCTTGGTCAACTCTAGGATAACGGTGTGTGACATCATGGGCAAGCACAATGTTGACCAACAATGGACTCGATAACGATACTACTTCGTTGGGAGATCAAGAATACAATAACCTCGATAACGATACTCCAGGGGGAGTTCCATTCAGGTTGATACTCTAATGGGAGATCAAGCATACAAAGGAATTGATATGGATACTCTGGGGGAAGATCTGTCGATATTAATGCTCCGGTGGGAGATCAATCAACAAAGAAAGCGAAATTGATTCTCTAGGTGAGATCAATCGTACCAAGGCAACTAATATTATGCTCTCTTGAGAGATCAAAATTTCGATTATGGGGGTCAATTTAATTACAAGAATTTACTTCCTTAGCATCTATTAGTATTAATTTCATATTTAATTTAAAAATTAAGTTTCTAATTTTTTCTTAGTTTATATTATTCTCTCCTTTTTTTCCTTGCCCTTTCTCTTTCCCTTCTCCATTCCTCTTTTCTTTCTATCTCCTATTTTCTTTCACCTTTCCTTTAATCCTTTTCTTTTTTCCCACTTTCCTTACATTTTCCCTTCTCTTTTCCCTTTCATTCCCTTTCTCTTTTCCCTTACCTCTACTTTTTCTTTCACATTTCCCCCTTTTCCTTTCCCTTCTTTCCAGTTTCTTTCCCTTTTCTTCTACCTTTTTCTTTTCCCCTTTTCTTACTCATTTTCTTCTCCTTTATTTTTCGTTCACATTTACCTTTCCTATCACTTTTCTACTACCGTTGTTTTTTTCATTATCACCTTTTCTTTCCACTTTTCTTTCCCATTTTTATTTTTCTTTGTGCTTTTCTTTTGCCATTCCCTTCTTTTTCTCTTTTCATTTCCCTGTTTTATTTCCATTTTCGTCTTCATTTTCTCTTTTATTTCCCTTGCCTCCTTTTTCCTTCCCCTTTCTTTACTCTTTTCCTTTCAGTTTTTTTTTTACCTTTGTCTTCTTTTCCTTTCTTTTATTTTTCTATTCCCTTGCCTTTTCGCACCCTTTCCCTTTTTCTTCCCCCTTTCATTCCCTTCTTTTCTAATCCTTTCACTTCTCATTTTTTCTATATTTCTTTTCTCTTCTTCCTTCCTAACTCTGCATTAGAGTTTTCATTCTTAGAAAAAGTTTAATTCCAACTCATTCTGGCTTGTTATTTTCTTTCAAGCACCGGTCATTTCCCATTAAAAGTTTGATCAAAAAAGGAATAAATTCTTTTAAAAAAGGTAAAAATCCAATAAAAAGGGAATATTCCAATTCAACAATGGAAAATCATTATTTTTTTTAAATATTTTTAAAAAAAAATTATATTCTTAAGGATTCAACATTATAGAAAGCTTGCCAATGTTCTACAAAGAATATTCGCATATATACCAATTATTTTGCATATACTAAATATTTGTATAATTTTTACTTCTCATTGTTCCTGCTCAATAAAATTAAGTATTGAAAATATACTCATTTTATTTTGGCAATACAATTAATATTTATTTAATATCCCTCTTCAACCCCATACCTATATTATATTTTTATTTAAACATCTCATGATTTGTGATCCATCGCTATTTGTTATTCTGCACTATTTGTGATTCATGGAATATCTGATTCTGTGCCATTTGTTATTCCCAGGTACACTCCCTCCCTTTGAAAGGAGCTAGGGCTTAGTCCTAGTATTTTTAAATTGTTTAAACCGTGTCCTGGTTTGTTTTAATTTTGCTTATTTCTATTTAGCCAATGCTATACAAATTTAAGACACCTACGCCCCTCTTCATGACAGAATATTCACTGGAAGCAAACCCGTCTTAAAAACATTATCCACCTCCTAAAAATTTGCCACCTATGGCGCCGATATTCCCAAGTTAATAATTACAAGTTTTTAATTGTATTGGTAATCTCTTCATATATTTTAAAAAGAAGATTTAAAACTACAACCCTTTAAGTCCCCTCGTTTATGATTTTAGTAAGCATGATTTTGGTAACAATGACAATAGATTGAAATAGAAATAACTGAAAAATAATAATCAAAATATATAAAAACATATAAATAAAATATTTTTGCTATCACTTTATTACATAATTATAAAATAATAAAACATAAAAATTAAAAGGCATAGGATTAAAATGCAATAGAAATTAAGAAAGAATACTTTCCCAAAAATTGTAAAGTGGTATAATATTCTCAAAATCTCAATTGTACATCTTTTCTTTATTAATCATTTACATTGTCTGATCTTAAATAATATCGTAATAATTCTTCTTTGAATAATATATTTTTTGTTTTCATCTAAATATTACAACTATAATGAATGTATTATTAGAGTGTCTTGTTTGGCATGAATATGATTTTTATTATAGAAAATCTAATCATTTTAATTTACACTAGAAATTATCCAGATATAATTTTTATTTGAAAAATATTGACTATGATTGTATGCAATATATAAATATGATCGAACTTTTTTACAGTATTATATTTTGCCCTTCATTTAAAATTTAATTAATAATCTCCCCTTCTCCGAATAAGTTTACCCTACACTCTAGATGTCTACCCCCTAAAAAATGGAAGCAAACTTCACCCCCCCCCCTATTTTACCCCCTCTTATGAAACGTTGCAATTGAGCGTTGCAACGCTCCGTTTTAAAATCTAATAATGCATTTTAAATGGTATTGTGCAAATTGGATATTTTTACGGCAAGCGCAATGATATCATTGGGCAAGCGTTAAAAAAAAGCAAACTGGTTTAAATTTTTTAATGCTTTTTTAATTTTGCGCTAAAATTTGAAAATGGATACAAAATTGTAAGTATAATTTATCTCATAGATTAATTGATATTATATCATTTAGAATATATTAATTGATATTTATATAATTTTAGAATATATTTATTTATATTTTAGATAATTTTTGAATATAAATTGATATTATTATCATTTTAGAATAAGTTTTAGATGGTTTATCAACTATTAGTTTAAGGAAAATATATATGAACAGTGATAAATTATATTTTTATTAGCATGGAGATGAAGTTTCAACAGCATGATACAACTGTATCATCCTTAAAGAATAATCTGAATATGAATATATCGTATTCATGAAGCCAATGATAAAAGACAAAAACTACTGACATTAGTCCCAAAGAAACTACACCAAAGGCTAGTGGCTCAAGAATAAATGCACTTATAGGTGAAAGACTTTTGGCTCTTTTGGAAAGGGTGCCATCTGAAAGCCAGTAAAATATATGTTTTTATCTTTAAATTTAATATTATTTTAGATTGTATCTACAATCAATGGCAGAAGGCTTAGAAAGTATGAGCCATTCAAATGAGTACTTTTTTAAATATGAGTATCAAAATTGTAACATACTTTGATGGAGCAATCAAAGGACCATACTGTTGAATTATCACCAGCAAATCCAACACAAACAACTTTTAAATCAAACATCAAATTTTATCTTAGTGTGTTTATTTTTGTAAATATATTTATTTATATATATAATAAAGTAATATTCCATATTATTGTGTCCATTTTTGAAAAATAAGCAAACTAATCAAAATTTACTTTGCATTTTTATTAAAATAAATAGATTATTATAAATATATTTTAGGATAAACAAATAAATATTATAATAATCATATTATGAAAGAATGAGATTGAGTAAACAGTTATGAAAATCCAATAAGTAAAAATATCAGGTGTAACATGATTGAGATAAGTGTACAATAGATTTAATAGTGTATATAATAAAATTTGACACAATAATTAATTATTGAGATCAAAATTTGAAGCCTTTTTAGGATTTTAATTCATTGACATATAATTTAGCCAAAATTATCTTTAGAAATTAAATATTATGTATGAAACGAATAATAGTGCTTGATTTTTTAAGATATTGACTATTTATATAGAAAACTTCCTGTTTATTTTATTTTGACAACACATTATGTGATTATAATAAAAAAATTCAAAAACCAATTAAATAAAATTGGGCAAAGCTTCTGGCTTCAAACTCTCATACAGATGGTATGATTAAATTATTTTAATAATATATTTAATACTCTTACATGTTCTAGTGTATACATTTTTATTATTAAAGAATTGAAAATAATATTAAATTATATTATATGTAAATTATAAATATATGTTCTCCTCATCCTTGTATAATTACAGTGGAGTAGGCACCCAAACCCCCCCCCCCCTCCCCCCCATACATAAAAAATGAAAAATAAATTATTTTTTTTTAAAATTATATTTATAATAATTTTATTTTTAAATTTTTTTTTTGAATATTTTTTTTAAATTTTAATTTAATAAATTCTTAATTAACGCTTGATTTTTATGTAATTAAATATTAATGAGCAGCGTTTTTGTAAGTAGAGAAGATAGGAGTGCGGGAATAGGAATCGCTTTCCTCTATATATTTATATTACCCCCGTCTAAAATTTAAATATAAAAGGTTAGTAAAAATGTAAAAATTATAATTTGGACAAGCATCCAAGAGTATATTATATAAAATTTATTCAAAATACAGCAACTTCTCCTAAAAAAATTAAAGTAAACGCCCTCCCCTTCAAGTTGAATAAGGATTCTTGTGTTATAATTCTCTGGTAGAAGTCATTGTCTCTCAGAGGATTGAGGAAAGATAGAAAAATTATTCAGAAATAAAGAGAGAAAGGAAGCCTAGATTTTGTTCCTTTATTTTCTCATCTAGGCGCTTGATGAGTCATGTTGACGATAATTAAAGGTAACTGTTAGAGATTCAGGATTATATTATTTTTTCATTCATTATTTATTTCAAATTTTTTTTTCTTAAAGATTATTTTTAAGGTGTAACTTTTATTTTTATTTTTAATTTTAATTTTTCCCTCATTATTTATGTCTCATCTTAACAATTTTATACTTTTCTTATGATATATTAAAAAGCATATAAAGTGTCCTGGTTATAAGAATATAAAACCTAAAATTTTTAGTAATCTTGACTTAATATATCTTTAACGAATAAAATGTATATTCGCTTATTGTACTCGGCACAAACAACATTCCAAATAGCATTGTCATATCAAGTGATACCTCCCCCCCCCCCCCCCACAAATTTACTTCATAAATTTTATTTTATTCCCTCTTCTTCGCAAGAATGATTAAAAAATGTCTTTAAAATTTGTAAAAAATGACTACTATATATATTTTATTACATGTAATCCTGCCAAAGATCATTCAAGAAAAAGCTTAATATTATTAAATTAAATATATGACAAGAGAGTCACCCAAGCACTCCCTTATGAGTATCCTTCCTGCAGTACTCTGACTTAGAAAAAGAAAATATAAATATAAAATGGAAAAATTAGGAATTTTATTTTATTTATCTTCATAAAAAATGCGTTTAATTTAAATAAATTTTTAGATAGGGCTTGAACACTATTACAAGTTTAAATTCGACCTCATATTTCCCCAAATTTATTTTAGAATGCATCGATGACTTTAAACAATAATTTGAAAGAAAAATAAGTAAAAATTAAAAATAATCACATATATACAGATTTTCATATAAGAAAGCATTTTTATAAAGTAAAAGTATCAAAAAAAAATTAGATTCATTGAAATATTTTCTAAATACGCGTAAAGGTAATCGGTTAAATTTTCCTAATGGATTAAAACTATATCCATTTAAAGAACCCTATTAGTACTGCGCTTGCGCCAATATATAAATCTGAGATTTTAAAGGTAGATTTTATTTGTTGATTGTTCTATTAATGTGTTGTTTCTTTTTATTGTAAATTATTTACATATAAAGTAATAAACATTTAATTTTATTTATTTTCTTTATCATTCTTAGAATTTTTCTTATACTAATTGATCTATAACATCCTTTATTAGAATTATGTCAGCAGCTCAACAGTATTTAGGTAGCAAGCTCAGCTTAATATCGAAAGCATGTATTAGATATGAAGGAGTGTTACATTCTATAGACCCTGTTAAAGCTACGTTAACACTTTCTAATGGTAATATTTGATTCATATAAATTATTGATTATTATTGACACCATTTAGAATAGGATATTAAAGTTATTTTACAAATATTTTAGTGCGTATGTTTGGAACTGAAAATAGAAATCTAGAATCTCCTGTTGATCCATCTGATAAACTTTATCGATATATCTCATTCAAAGGAAGTGACCTTAAAGACATCTATATGTGTGAAGATAAAAAGACACCATCCAATGATATACCAGATCCTGCCATTATTGAGGTTACTTATAAATGTTTTTATTAGTATATTCCTCAAGCTATTTTAGCAAAATCATATTTAATAAGGCAGTTCCATTATTAAATATTTGATCAGGATGATATTTACTGTTTTTTAAAAAAAAACCATTAGTTGAGATTTATCATTTTTTGTTATTGATATAATATCTTATATTTTGCACATAATTTTCTAATAACAATGAATAATAGGAGCCAAAATCCGATTTATCTTTCTAAGTATAATAGTCAAAAATATGATATTTTTTTTGTTATATTTGCAACAAGAATAAAATTTAAAAATATTTAACAATTCATATTTATCCATAAACATTTCCCATAATTTATTTTTATAAACAAATAGCAAAACAAGTCATTTATTAAAAATGAGTGTAAATTTTAAAAATATCGATGGCTCTAAAAAGAGCTTATAGTAAAAATGTACCTAAAAAACATGTATAATTATGTTTAAAAATTTCTAATTGTATTTTTTGTTTTAGGAAGATTGACTCGCGTTTTTCGTTTGTTATGTTAAAAATTTTACGTGCTAAAATTTTAAAGTTGATTGGGAGAAATTACTATTAGTTGAGATGACTATGGGTTGAAAAATAAAATTATTTAATATTGAGTATTTATTGATTTTTTTATTTTCGCCATTAAGAGGATTTGAATTAATTGATGAGGGAAAGGAAGAGACACAGGTAGTGTCCCAAATTGTGGATTTTCCATTGGACCATGGGATGCAGGTTAGACCGTCAGGTCTGAGACCACCTTGTAGAGAGAGGTTTGTTGGTTCTATAATGTTAGGAATTTTAGCTTTACTGAGAGCGTTATGGATGATTTTATTTATTGCTTTATGCCAGAGGTGGCGACCTTGGCTATGGGAGCAGTTTAGGCCGTGTCTTGCATTTGGTTGTACAGGTAGTAGGGCTGGGAACCAATAGTAAAAACCCAATATGAACAATATTGTATTGGTATTGGGTCTAAAATATTGGTATTGGTTTAAACAATATTTTCTATTTCTTGTATTGGTATTGCTATTGGTATTGGTTTATATTGGTAACTATTGGTTTATATTGGTAACTATTGGTTTATATTGGTATTGGTTTAAATTCAAATTACTAATTTAAAGAATAGAAATAGTGATTATAAAACCCTTAATTTCTAATTTTAAATAAACATGGGAAAAAAAATCATGATACCATAAAATCGGGGCTAAGAACCAACTCTCAAAATTTTACTGAATTCAAATTCTTTTTTTAAACTAGGAATTTATTAGGTGATGTGAATATAAAAATTTTTGATTTGATCATGTATTTTTTGTATCAACAATAATAAACGTATTGATTTTGAACCATTTTATTTATCACAAAGAACATAGCAAAATAAGTAAACTAAAAATGTTACATAACTGTCTATTTATACAAAATATAATGCAAAAGAATGATATAATTTTAATATAAGAAGAGGAAATAATTTTATGTATTTAAGAAGAATCTTGCATGCGCATCCAACTTTTTATGCACAGGCAAGCTTGTATAGTATGCTCATCTAGTGAACAACGTTGGTCTGTTATAACATACCGTCCTTCTGAAAAAGCCCTTTCAGAGCTAGATGAGGTGGCCGGAATTGCTAGATAATCTCTGGCAATTTTTGATAATACTGGATATCTATTTTTATTTAATTTCCACCAATCTAATGGATTTGTATCATTGGAAATTGGGCTTCATCTACGTATTTACTTATTTCTAAGTATTATTATGAGGTTTCACCTGATAAATTTTGTCATAAAAGGACAATTTTTTGTTATTTTGTGCTTCATTTGTAAGTTCCGCTGAATTGTTATTATTTATTTTATAAATATTGTATTCATTAGTAAGATATCCAATAAGAGTTTCCATATTATTAGGCTTTAAAAATGACTTGATAGTTTAAATCTTGGGTCAATCATTGTTGAAATAATATATAGGTGTTTTTAAAATTATAGTATTTATTAAGTTTTGTCAAGGCAGCTAATGAAGCTGTCTTTAAAATAGCATTAGGATTATTATTATAACTCAACGTGCTCAAAAATACTGGAATATAAAGGAATGATTGTTGAAACTGATGGAGTATTAGCACATGAGGCCATCTCTGTAGCAAAATTAAATGGTTCTAAAAATTCTTGGTATATTTCAATATTATTCCAAGCTAAGGCACTAATATAATATTCTTCATTAGTATTTTGTTGATGATTGGTATATATTGTGAGATAAGGTTTGAGCAATATAGCCCTTTCGAGCATTTGGTACGTTGAATTCCAACGTGTTGGTATATCCAAAATAGGGTTAGGAAATTTTAAATTTGGATTTTTTTCAAGATATATTTTTTCAAGTTTATTAAATTTAGATATAGAAAGTTTAAAAATTTTTTAAAAATTTCTTATTTTTTTTAAAATTAGATTTAGAGGTTCCAATGCAGCCATAACAGACAAATGGATAATATGGCAAAAACATTTGCACACATTATCAAAATTGTCTTTTAGTTTTAAAATTTTTAAAAATGCTAAATTATTACTAGCATTATCTAATGTAATACAAAAAAAATCAATTTCAAATTTTGCTTTTAATACAGAATTAAAAATATTATAAATATTAATATCATTATGTGCTGATTTAAAAGGAATAAAATCTAATAAATGATTAATTAATTTAAAATCATTATCAATATAATGAATGGTTATGCCCATAAAGGGTATTTTATTTGGAGAGGACCAAATGTCCATTGTTAAAGAAAATTTAAAAGTAATTTTAGAAAGTACAGATTTTAAATTGATAAAAGAACTATGATAATGTTTCATAATTTCTTTTTTAAGTGTTTTTCTAGAAATTAATGTTAATGAGGGGTTGCAAAAGCTTATTAAATTTTTAAATGACTCATTTTCAACCATTGAAAAGGCTAAATTATTTTGAATAAAAAAGTCCATAATTAAATTATTTAAATTAGCTTTATTATTTACATTATTAATTAAAAATGATTTTATGGTGTTAATTTTTTTACTGCCATTATTTATTTGTTCACATTTCTTATATAAAGTTGGGTGGATGGATTTAAGATGTGTCCATAATCCTGAGGTTCCAAAATTGGGAATAGATAATTTTTTTTACATTTATTACAAATAGCCTTTTTTTTGTTATCACAACTAGTATAAAATTCCCAGATTTTTGCTGTATTTCGTCTTTTATTAGATATCGTTGATTCTTCTTGTTCATTATCGCTATTATTATTAGTATCAACATCATTATCTATATTTATTAACTCAATTTGGTTTTCATTCATTATAATATCCTAAATGAATAAATAGATAAAATTGATAGATATCATATAAAAAACTTACTTCCATAATAATAAACTATAATTATAAATAACACCAATATTGATATCACAGGAATATTTGGAAGAAATAACAGATGTAATATGTTTATGAATGAAAGTAAAAAAATATACCACGATATAATTATCCACGATAAAACCAAATAATTTTATGTATTTATCTATTTTTAATATTGGTATTGGTATTGGTTGTAAAAACAATACCAATATTTAATTATATATTGGTTTATATTGGTATTGGTATTGTAAACCAATATTATATTGGTATTGGTCCCACCCCTAACGGGTAGGTTGCAAAGGTGGCAAGTGTGTGAATGTGTTAGCGATCATCCTAGTCTAAATCCTATGGTAACTCTCAGTTGGTCATTCGTTAAGAGATTATCAAGGGTTAGGCTTGGAAGTGCCTCGAGCCATTCATATCCGCCATATTTATCGTTTAATTGAAAAAGTTGAATATCGCTGATATCGGAGGGCTAAGACTATTTTGAAGTTTCTTTATAAGGGGTTCCAAGATTGATTTATTAGAAATTTCGGTTGGGAATGTTTGACCGTCTGGGGTTAGTAGATTCCATTTTTCGATTGCTACTGTTAAGAGATCGTCATTGGGGGTTATAAAAGATGAGATCACGGAATTGAGCGAAAGGCGATTAGAGATAAAAAGAGATAGGGAGAGTAATTCTAAGGGGATCAGGTCGATACCGCCTAGTTTAGCGGGTAATTGAGCAAGGTGCCAATTAAAGTCTGATAATGGAAGATTAAGGTGGGGAAAACAAATTGCACTTAATCATTGATTTTGAATCAAATATCATATTAGTTATGAGATATTGAAATTTTTTTATATTTTCTTGATAATTTACAGTGGTGTTAAACCAATCAATTTTACCAATTTTAAATTAAGATTTTTGTCAAAATAATATACTCAAGCCTCTATTGTTGATAGATGGCCTGTCCAAACATTTTTGCCCATCTATAGGGAAATTCTTCAGGGTTGTGTAATTTTTTTTGGCCAAAATATTGGGTGTCATTTTTAAAATTGAGTCATTTAGCAATACTAGTTTACAGTAAATTTTTTTTACCATAAAATATTTATTTTTTATATGAAATTGTTTCAAAGATTGATACTAAATAAAAATATCAGCAGTTATATCAGTTTTATAAGAATATTACATCAGATTGAGGCAAAATTTTGGATCAGCAGAGCTTTAAGTATTTTTATTTATTTTATGCTATATTAAAATTACAATATTTTTTTTTTTAAATATATCAAAAATAATAATTTTTATTATTTAGCATTCTGAAGCAATCAGCAACTCATCCAGCATACCTACACCTATAGGTGTAATACCAGAGAATCATCCAACTCAACTTAAAAACCAAATACCAACAAATTTTTATGGTATGGAACAGTATTCTGAAAGCTTAACAAGTAAAATTTATTAATGATCAAATATTTGCTTTCTTTTTTTTATAACTAGTACTTTATAGTTTTGTTTATGTTAAAAATAAGTGATAAGGCTGTGTCCTACTTCTACTTATTTCTGTTTATCCTAAACTAAACATCATTGAACTTGGACACCCTATTTTAGTTTATTTTAAGTGTTTGGTGGCATTGTTATTTTTTCTATTTTTTTCTTGTTATTGCTTTTTTCCTTCCCTTACTTTATAGGCTGTTGTCGAAGTTATATAACTGGCTAAGGAGCTATGCAACTAATTTTAATTTATAAATATTGTATTTATCAATATAGTAGATGAAGCACGTAATATTAGGGATAGACAAAAAACATGTTTTTTCCAAACAAAGAAAAAAAAGCCAAAAACACTTAAAAAATTGTTATAGGGTGTCCTAGTTCAAAGGCTATTTAGCCTAGGCCTAACCTAAATAGTATCAAAAATAAGTTGATCTTAGGACACATCCTAATAATTATAATTTAAAGTTTATATGAATAGTTTTTATTTTATAAGAATTATATTTTAATAAAATATTTATATTTGAAATTTAGATAGCAGGAAATCATCACCACAAATTGATCAAGCTACCCAAGTCACTCCTGTCAACAAAAGTTTTAATTGGCATTTTATAAATATTTTTGTCTTATTTTTCATTGCTTTTTAATGCATTGATTAATTAACAATCATTTATTTTTCCTATATTTAGATAATGCTAAACACCAATCTTCCCACTACAATCAAGCTAATATAAATACCACAAAAATCAGTCAACAACATCCAGCTTCTAATTTAAATTCAAATTTACAAAATTTACATTCTTCCAATAGCTATAACTATTACAATGGGTTCAACAATAAAATCGGCAATAATCAACATAAGATGGCGGCGAATTTCAATTCTAATCAGCACATGTCTTACAATAGGAATAACATGGGAATTGGGAAAAATTATACAAATAATTTTTCTCACAATCAATTCCATAGTAATGCGAATTCTTCAAACCAGAATTATGCCGCTAATGCTAATAGGAGATTTGGAGGGAGCTTTGGAAACAATTTTGGAACAAACAATAGTAAAATTAGTTTTTTTTTATTAAGTTAAGGATTATTTTAATAAAATGAGATCCATTTCATATTCTTCATGCCTTTGTAGTTCATAATTAATAAGATGCTAAACTACAGTAATTAAACTAGTGAATAATGTAATCTCATATAAACAACCTACAGAGGAATAGGCTAGAATTGAAATAAAGAAGGTAAAAGGGATTTTGCATTATAATATTTTTTTTTTAATAAATCTAGGATACAATTCAAATTCCATGCAGCAACAACAGCAGCACCATTACAACCAAAATCACTATCACCAAAATCTCAATAGATATGGCAATAATCGTCCCCCAACTGTCAATCACGCCATCAATCAAACCTCCCTCCCTAAAGAGGATTTTGACTTTGAGGGCTCTAATGCTCAGTTTGACAAGGAAAGCTTAAGCCGGGATTTTGCTAATAAACTCAAATTAATAGTCAATGGTTTGTTACACCTTATAAAAATTTATTTCACTCCAAATTTTCAATAGAGTTAATTAAATTATGATATTTTTTTAATTAATTTTTTGTTTTAATTTTTATTCTATATTCACTTTCTTTTCACACTTATTTATTTAATACCTTTGAATTTTTTATCCCATATCTACTTAAAAATTACTACTGTAAATCATTTGTATGTTTAAAAATTATTAATACTGGCTGATATTGCAAAATTATGCCTATAAGGAATATAATATACCAAGTGAACAATATCTCATACATAAATAATTTTTTATCCACCATTTTTTTAAATTAGATTAGCAATTTAACGATATTTTTTAAAAATTGAATGATTGAAAAATTCGGTATATTCCTAGTTTATTCTATTCCTCATATATGTTTTTCCATATTACATTTAAAAATCGGACCAACCACTGATATCTATGAATCCGCCTATTGATTTTTAAAAACCTTGCATATCCTAATTGGTTTTCACGATCATTCTTATTTATGCTTAGATAAAATAAACTTAAAAATCTGCCAAAAACAATCCTTTTTTAAAAATAATAAAAAATTATTTGTTTTCCGCCATTTTGATGATCAGGCAAATATGGCCAGGTATTCGATTCCCATCCAATATATTCTAAAGAACAGTTATACCATGTCATTTAAAATGCCGAATATTTTCAATCACCTAAATATGTATATCAAATACAAACTCTTTTTTTTATCGATGTGGAAGATACCACTTCGTCCTCGATATCAAGTGCCGCTGGCGAGAAGATTCAATCAGAAGATGCTGATCACCAGGAGGAAAATGACTTGTTAGATATTGACCACGACCTGTCAAAAGTTTGAAAATGTTTTTTTGGTCAAAAAAATTAATTTTTGTAAGGGGTAAAAGGGAAGATAAGTAAAATTTTTATTAAATATTAATATTTTTAATATTCTTTCTTACCTTTGCTAAATTTTTTATACAAATTATATTTTTAGAGATGTATTTAAACGTTTTTTTTGAAGTATTTTTATGTAATTCTTTCAATTTTCTTATTTATATCAGCAAAATGACGCAAATGAAGACGAAAACGCGCGTTTTTACGAGCCCGCCAAATCATTTTTTGATGATATAAGCTGTCAGACAAACATGGAAGCTAGGCGTAAGCTCATGCGAAAATTGGCTGTTTCGGGACAGGACACCGGGTTTCAAAGTCGCCCTGATACCGGATACAGAACCGGCGGTTTTGGGAGGCGGGGCATGGACGTGGAGACGTTTGGCAGAACAAATGTAGGAGGGAATTATAGGAATACCAATTATGGATATAGAGGTTGGATTTAATTCATAAGATTAATTGTTAAAATAAGCTTTATTCTTAGTATGCATGACCCTTATTCATTGTAACCTGTGAAGTTGATATATCTTTTTAAAATTCCATTTTAAGGTGGTCACAATAAATCAGACAGAAACGTTCATCCTAATCAATCTTCCAATAATTCGAATTCCACTGTGAATGCTAACGCTATCAAAGTGGTAAATTAAAGATATCAATGTTTATTTAAAGTTTGTGATCCAAGAGTTTTATTTATTGGTGTCTCTTATTAATCAGGATCCAAACCATATCGGTTTGGTCCGAATCTTTAATCCCCTATTTTTAACTCTTAATATTTTTTTTTCCTAACTATAAAGGTCGAACAGTTAAAATATTTTCAAGATTCTCTTAAGGCAAATTATATCTAGAATATAAAAAATAATAGATTATATAGTCAACTTGTGTTAAATAAAAATAGCAATATACAGAACTATCTAAAAATGACCCATTACTTAATCAACTCGATTCAATTTAAAAAGTCTATACAAAGGTTAAGATAATTTTTTAGGTGAGAATTTAACGGTTAAGTAACAACGATATGGTTAGGTTTGGATCCATGTGTTTAATTTATTAACCAAGGGCGACTTTAAATTATATATTTTTTGAAATATATGTTAGAATAAATGTATTTTACTTTAACAATGTTACATTTATTTTACGAGTGAAAAATCAGAATCTGCCTGAAATTTATTCCAGCATTCATATAATACCTACTAACTGAATTTCAGATAACTTTGCCACTAAATTTTGTATCACTTTTGATTTGTTATATAAACACGACTCAAAAGGATTCAAGGTAAAATTATCCAAAATTTTTAGCATACTTATTTTACACGTGCTTGGCGTATTTTTTTCAACAAAATTAAAATTTTAAAATAACGCATTGCTGGAGAAACACATTTACACGAACATATGTATATAATATATCCTTGAAAATAATTTTATAACCTGATTGTTTATTTTAAAGGGTGGATCTTATTGAAAATTGGTGCACTCTAGCTTGTATCGGATTTATCTTTAATTACCAAATAGATACTGATATATAATATGGTTTGATGGAGATTAACTAATATTTAGTTGAAATTTATACACATTTTATTCGTTCAATGATAATTAAATTTATATTCTAATATATTGCTAATATTCTCTTTTTATATTTCATCTATTTGGATTTAAATATTATTAAAAAATAAATATACTAATAAATAGTTTAAATAATAAAAAAATATAATATTATTTTTATATATATATAATTTATATTAGAATAAAATTTGTATTTATAAAAATATTAACTTATTTTCGCATATTGAAAAATTTACAAATATATATTTATAAAATCTTTGTGTTATATAATTTTAAATATGTTTATTTTTTTTCCACTTATTATAGACATCTTAGTTTTTGTAATGTGTTTTTTTTCTCTTATTTTTCTAGAAATATATTATATAACTATTTTTTTTTGAAATTTATATTATATTCGTAATTTAAGTAATTTACTAGTTATGAGTCTAAAACACATATTTTCCTGATAACATACAATATTAATTTAATATTTGTTATATTAACTAAACGCGAGTTTTTGCTTTTAGCTGACAGCCTTATAAAATAGTACTCCTTATGTTACAATAAAAAAAATATTCACAGACATGTAACATACTTTTATACTTTTATTTTATTATTTATAGGTTTTGTTATATCACCTAAGCTCCAACTCTAATAACCTTTTATTAAAGCTTTTAGCTCAAAAAATGAAACTAAAAATTAGATTTAAAACTTGGTTAACATTAATTAGAAGTTGGTTAAAGTTAGGTGAATTAACAACTTATTATTAATTAGTAAATGGCCATTTTTATTTTACTGAAATTGATTAAAGTATTGTAAAATTATATCTAACCTGTGTAATACCATTTTTGACTAAAGATTTATTTGCCACTTTTTTTATCAATGACTAATACAATATTCACAGAGACCATGATGTAGTTTAAAATCATAATCAAACTTTCCAACATATTTATATTACTCTATATTTATCCATAGTTTATTTTAAAAAGTTTAAATTTAAGAACCTGTCAATTTTAACTTTTACTCAAATGCAGGTGTATCACTTCACAAAATCCAAATTTTTGATAAATTACGAAACTATCTCTAATGATTAAAAAATATGTAGAAGCTAGATCTTTTAAAAATAAGGTATTTAAATGATTAAATACGCCATTTTGCTAACTACCATGAAATATGTTGAAGCTCTTATATAAAAAATGATAAAATATTAAATGGCATTGTTGTGTTTGAGTTTTATTTGAGAAGTATGATTTTAGATTTTATAAACATAACTGAATCAAATGGGCATTTAAAGCTTTTATCACCCCCCCCCCTTTTGGAGTCGCGATTTATCAATCATTTGTTATATATTCTTGTTTCATGTTAAACGAATTTTTTGTTTATTTTTATTACTTTACCGACTTATTCCTTCTTTTTAATACCTAGACGAAGTTTGATATACTTCTCGTCATCAATTCAGGAAAATTTTTTAATCTTTTTATTAGAAACGAGGTGTATTCTTTCTTAATTTCCTCGTGGTAACCTTCCACAATCTAATTGCTATTTTGAGGGAAAGGGATTCCTCATAGTTAAAGATACTTGATGATTAATTACGGTCTGGTCCAACGTTCACTTAATATTTAACGTGCATTTACAGATAATATAATGTAACTCGACATCATTCATCGCTTATTAAAATATATCGATGTCGCGCTACATTTTGGTAAGCAGAATATCCCCAAATGGAGGGTAATTAATCTAATTTTTGTCATTCGTTATTGTTTTTTTATCAGTTTTCGAAGTTGTTATGTGGGTTGTTTTTGTGTTAAATTGTAAATTCATTTATTTTTGGTGATAAATATTTTTTTTGATTGTCTTGTGTAATCATTTCTTTTAATATATTATTTGTAAAGGAAATAAAAAAGGATAAATTATAAAAACATTGTTTATGTCATATGTTTTTAAATGTATTATATTATTAATCAATTTATAATTATATTTAATAATAGATATAATATAAAAAGAGGAAAAAACGAAATAAATCATCAATATTTTTCTTCCAAATTTATTTTATTTTTTACTCTTGAAATATTAAATATTTTTTTTTGTCTTCCAAAAATAAAATTATTCTCCTTTTATACTTTTGCTAATTAGTAAAATAAAGGAATCATGAGTAAAAAAATTAAAAATACAAAATAAGGAAAAGAAACATTGAGAAAAAATGAAATGAAAAAACCCCAAAAAGAACCTTTGTTTAAAATAGTTGTTAAAACCATGAATCATTACGATTAATCACGCTGTTTTTTTAACCCTTTAGGTTCCCTCATAAAATTAATATGTTGTAACACGATATTTAGTAATTTTTTTATTGATTCTAGTATAATATAATATAAAACACACAAAAAAAGTTTTTTAAATTCAAAATGGCGGCTCTCCCTGGTGGTTTCAAATTCATATCATTGACACCTTATGGAAACTTTCGAAACAGTTTCTATTTTTATTTAGACATAGTGGTACGTTGCATGATTTGCACGACCACCTTGTTCTTCTGGGATTTAACTTTGTACTACAGAAGGTACACCTTCGTGAGGTTCCTGCCTGAGGTTGATGAGCTGAGTTTTTTAGTCTAATTTCTGGAAGGATATAAGCTTTATTATTTTTTCTTTGCATTGATATATAATTATTATCATTATGAATATTATCATCCCTATTAACATTTTTACAGTATGCCAATTCGCTAGCAATTATTTGTCTTCGGAATTCTTTCGATGAGAGTTTATTATCTGTAAGAATATTGTATATTATGAATGAATTGATAATCGCCGCATCTATCAGCCAAAAAAATATTGGTAGTCACCATTTTCGCCACTTTCGCGAAATTTCATATAAAGACTTGAAATGGTCAACAGACCCCATATATTTATTATACATCTTTATCATTATTGGACATTTTACGTCAAATACTTCCCCTTTTTTATTTTTTCTCTTCACAGTATCCACTGATCTCGGATCAATATAATTGGGCATTATAAATACGTCACGATTATCTCGCCATTTAATTATACTTATATTATTTTTGTCACTTCTCCAGTCAAACTCACCTCTTTTTAATTTTGTTTCCATATTCTTTATGGGCAAGTATCTCCTATTTTTGTTTAGTGTTCCGGTAGCATATATACCTTTCTTTTTTAAATCGATCAATTTCAATTTGATAAGGTGTATCCGATTCATAATCATCACTATCAATTTGGTAACGTGTATCCGATTCATAATCATCTTCGGAATCAGTGGATGAGTTGTCTAACGAAGAACCTTCAGATGGAATGTCCAGATAATCATCCATATATATAACAAGCTAAAATTATTGCGAAATGAGTTGGCAAAATTTATCAATTATTTAAAAAAATAAATATTAAAAATATTGTTGTTAAGTGGCAGTGGTTAGTTCAATATACCACATTAAAGAGATCAAAATAATATATAAATATTATTTATTTGAGCAAAAATAAATATTAGAAAGATAGATAAAATAGTGAGGAATATATACATTTAAAAATATTTGATAAATATACTTACTTATAATTAAAATTGGAATTTTAAGAAAAATCATCGTAAAAAACGTATTTTGAAATAAAGGCGCGAAAAAAAAAATTAAAAAATAACTCCTCCACAAACATATGAAAAAGAATATCTTTTAATATATATTCGTGGTGGTTTCATTTTATATGATTAACTCCTTTAGAAGATATAAAGGTTAAAAGGTGGTTTTATATTTGCACTACCGCGACCGAAAGGGTTAAAGGATCAGATGATATATGTAATATTCATTGGGATGAATCAGAGATTTCCCGTTAGTTTAGTGGTAAAGCTCTAAGGGTATAAATATTCATTTAACTTCAACGAGAGAAACAAAAATTATTTTTTAATTAAAAGATATTTATTTTTTAATTAAAAGATATTTATTTTAAAATGCAAATATATATTTTTTTTATCATTTCAGTTTCAAATAATAAGCGATAGATAAAGAAACTTTAAAAATGAAAAAAAAGACAAAAATTTTTGGAAATTCGATATTTTTATATTTTAAATAAAGTTTGTATGGGTTTTTTTTTTGTTAGAGACATATGTAAGCCATTCACAAATAAAATAAATGATCTTGTTACTAGATAGTTAGCAGTGATCAAGAAACACTCAAAACTTTTTTAAATGTTTTTAAAAAATTCTAGCGCTGCTCCTTAACAACTCTGTTGGATTTAAGATTTTTTGAATGACTTCTTAACAATAGTGATGAAGTTTGATAGGAAAGATTCAAAGTTTCTCAAACCATATTCATTGTAGGCAACCCAATGGTGATAGATAAATGTCTAGTAATAAGAAATTTTTTCATGAATCAAACCCCTGGTTATAAGTCCTAAAATGATGACCAATATCATCCAGAGTAGAGTCTAAGTTTACCGGAAATATATTCCAGCATTTATAGAGGCATCTACCTTATAAGTTTTAACAATCACTTCTTAACTTATATTTTCTTGCAGGAAAAGGTTCAATGAAAATCTTCACTGGGGGATTCCATTGTAATATTATTACAGAACGTTGAACATTAAAAAACCTTATAAAATTTATAATTTGTTATAAAATATACTTATCATGTTTAAAACATAAAAACTGACCCCCCTCCAACCGGAAGTAACAAGTCATATTATATGGTTGAGCCATTTTTATTGATGAATTAACAAATTTTTTAATTAATTTTACTTATTCAAGAAATTATGCAAATACAAGAATAAAGTAACACAGATAGATAAAATAAGTTTATAAATAAACCTCGAAAAAAGAGCCGGTTGATCTAGCTAAGAGCCCTGCAAAAGAGGGCCGGAGGCCCAGTTAGGGCTTAACAGCCTCGCCCAAAAGTTTTAAAATTTTTGCCTGGCACCTAATCATAAATTATAAAATAAGTACTAATCGGGAACTCTAACAGATTAAAACCTCAAGGGCAATTTTTTTTTAAATTTTAATCGCAGTAAATATATTCCAGCATGGTGCAAAGCATTTTACCTCATAAATTTCAGTCATTTTTTTTTTAAAATTATGTGAAAAAATCTATTAAATAAAAAAATCAAATTAATATAAATTGAAATTTCAATAAATTCACGGCAAAACCATAGGCGTATTCAGGATTTTGCTAAGAGAGGAGGGGGTAGCACTATTAGATAAAAATTTTTCCCCTATTTTGGTCATAAAAACAATATAATTTTGGGTTTTTACTTTTAAAAATTAAAATTATTTTTTTCCTATTTGAGAATTATAGTCGTTAAAAAATTAGTAACTTTTACTTATTTTTCTTTCAAATTCTTCCTTATGGGGGAGGGTGTTTAGGATAAAATATTTTACAGACCAAATTGCTATGGGGGGTGAAATCCCCCTCCCCCATTGGTTGCTGCCTGGGCAAAACTATTCTAAATATCATATAATATATATGTTACTGTAAAGTCCATTTTTGTTATCAAATTGATGGGCTCAGAATCTTCAGTACTGTAAGTTCTGTATTAATCGTTATTACAGGAGACTCACTAATAAATTATTCAAAATTCATTTATATAATTATAATATTTTTCCCTACTCTCTAACCTCTCTCTCCCGCTTCTCACAGTAAACGATATATATGTCAGATTAATCAAAAGAAACGAGGAAGATATATTATACATTAAAATAATGGGGTATTTTTTTCGATAACGAGAACTATTATGATTAAGGGTCTAAAATAATTAAAAAAATGTCACAAGAATAAAAATAATAATTGAAATGTTTATGGAGACAGTGGTTTTAAAGCTTTATATAAATTAATTGGGGAGAGTAATTAAAAAATAAATGAATGCATAGAAATTATTTCTTTTTAAAAATGAATATTTTTATTTTATGAATTGTGTATGGTTTACTATAGTAGTGTTAAATTTTAATTTTATTAAAAATTTTGACTATATAATATATGTTCAGTATTTTTGTGAAAAAGTTAACTTTTAACAATAATGGTTTTAATATAATGTAATATCTATATTCTATAAAACTAATAATTTTTAATAAGACTTTAAATGACGAACAATATGTCTACTTAATAAAACAATTGTATTTAAATATCTATCAAATATTATTTTCTATAATACATAATCTCTTTTTAAAATTTTTTTAATAAAATGTGTGGGAAATAATAAAGTGATTTAGGTTTTAATTTACAAAAAAAAAGAATTGAAAATGAATTACCTGATAATCGAGTATAGATATTGGTTAAAAATTTTTTATATCAAACTATTTTTTATTTAAATCTCTAAAAATTTAATTTTTTTTTGAGTTGGGTCCTAAATTTTTAGACCCGATTCATGTCCGAGATGTAATTTTTTTATGTATAATACAAAAAAGATAAATTAAAATTATAGTTTTATTAAAGTTTTAAAAAAAAGGGATTTTTTTTGCCTTGTTACTAATCTCATTTTTAAGCCCCATCCCTGCCCGGATTTTTAAGTCCGAGACTCATTAAGGGTGGTTCTATTACTGATGTTCTGGGGTAGAAGGTCGCCAGAAAGGGTTAAAATTTTTCTTTCAGAGGAGCCTGTGAGATTGCCTAGCACGAATGCTACCGATAATACAACGATGTTGTCAGTGTTAATCTGAAATATATATTTTTTTTAAATATCGGTTTCCGTTGTGGAAAGCGAAATTTTATTAAATTTTTAATTCTTATAGAAACATTCAAATTGAACGATTTTACACCACCAAAGAAAAGGAAGGAAGAATTTTTTTAGAAGATTTTCAAATGTTTACCCAAACCTTCTCCGCTTAATTGTGCCTACTGTATAATATAGGCATATTAAAAACCTTGTGCATTTAAAGTTGCTGGTTAATGTATTGATTATAAAAGCTTATAATTTGCTGAAACATAGGTATTATTAATAAAAAAATATCTACAATTATTTTATCAATTTTACGCAATTTGACATTTATTTTAATTTTTTTTTCTTCATCCCACCCCTCTCAACAGTGGCGCCAAATGTACAATAATAAGCGTATTTTAAAAAACATAATATATAAAAATTTAATATTTAATTTATTTGTGCATTTAAAAATTATTATAATTTCAAGTTTAATATTGGTATTCGAGTTTTTTCTTTTTTAATATAAAATAAAATATGAAATTCTCCATAATATTCTTATTTGTGGTGCTAGTTAATGTATTGATTGCAAAAGCTTATAAACTGAAAATAGGTAAGCGATTATTTTTTTAAAAAAAAAGAAAAATTATTTACAACTATATTTAAATCAATTATTTTTCATTTTTAATAGATTTATATAATATATATTTTTTATTGCGTAATTGACAAAATATGGCATGGGAGCTTATGAACCGGAAAAAAAATACTGCTGAAAAATAAGAGACCCTATAAAAATAACTGTAATTTTGATAGCCTTGGAATTATTAACTTAGAATAATAAAATTTAATTTTAAAATAAAGTCTAGATAAATCTTAATTAGCCTTAGTTATAGATGGTTAGGGCAAGTAAATATAGTGGGTTTTACATTATATTGTTGATCTAGGTATGTATATATATAAATACATAATAAATGATGTGGTTAAAAGGGGCATTGAAATTGAAGAAGATTGAAAGTCTGCAATGGGCGAGCTAGTTAACAAATTTTAAACACCGAGCGGGTTGACGAGTTAAAAAAATACTTTTAAAACAACGGGCTTGAAGATGGACGGGTAAATTTGAAATATTTTTTAGACCAAATGAGCAATATATAGACTTTTATTTATTAAAAATAATTTTTTTTTAAAATTATATAATTTCGCATTATTATTATAAGACCAACCAATAAAATACTCTTCCTGGTTTGAGCTAAATATAAATATATTTTAAATGGAGCGTGAATTTTTAAATTAACAAACATTGGCCATCCAAAAATGTTCCTTTATTTTTTAAAATTCAAGAGAGTTATCAAGTATAGAAAACTGAGGCTATATGGTGTGTTTTTACTCTTTTGCTAAATTTTAAAAAATTAAACTATTACAAAATAAATAAACCAACGTTTTCTAACCTTCTATAATGTGGGCGCCATTTAAGATCAAGTAAGACGCACTTTTTCCTTTATACCGTAGCCACTCAATGGGAAATCCTTGGGGCAAAGTGGCAATCCCCTCGGATTAATATGAAGAATATCAAATTTAACCCACAAATCATAAATATATTCATTAAATTAAAATAAGCACAAAAAAATGGCACAATTAGGATATGTCCATTCTAGATTAGCTCATTTTATCAAAGGGAAAATTTCAATATCATTGATATGTATAATATAGAAACTTCATCATTAAATCCTATTTATTTCAAAGTTTTATAATTTCATCTGTTCGATTTAAAAAATTATTTATATTAAAACTTATTCATATTATATTTCATTTTCAAATCAAATTCCATTGTTAATATCAATTTTAACGTAATCTACAACTTTAATTAAATCAATACCATTAAATCAATTTTCTTAACAAATTAATGGAATTTAAGGGAGAACTCTAATTAACTTAATGCCTTTTTTTGAAACTTCATTTTTTCAGAAAATTATATTTTTCCAATTTTGATGTGACTAGCCCAATCAATTTAGATTAGGCCCACCGGAGTCTGGATCTGGTTGAAAAACTTATTTTATTAAATTCATTTTCGATCATCTGCAAACTCCTTTCTCGCACAATATAGAGGCTCTTAGCTTAGGCTACAGGCCACTTAAACATATTTAGTAAAATAATCAATTTTATGTATTAATTTTTTTTTTGGTAACATTGTCATTGTAGGTCTATAAATATATATATATATTTGATGCTTTAGAACTTTTTGGAATAATATAAACATGTAAATTTTTAAAATACTAAATTATGATTAATAATAAATTTAAATCCTGCATCAAAAGCATTGAACTTAATATAATTTTGACACATTCTATGAGGGGGGGGGGGTTAAAAATATTGAAATATATTTTTTTAGAAAGTATTAATTTATCATGACTAATCATTGTTTAAAATATATAAGAATCAATCATATTATAAGAAATGACAATTTTTCTAACACAAATTGGTAAAAATATTGGAAATATTACTAAATAGAGCGAATATAATATTGTTAAAAAATATTATAGTTATATAAATCCATATGTAAATCACAATAAAATATAGAAATATTATTATAATGATTTAAAGTTGATCAAAATATCGTTCTTAAATTGAAAATTTATTCTTCTTTGCGATTGCTATATCGATAAGTTGTGTGGTATTAAGGGATAAAATATCTATGGATATTGAGTAGAGCTAATTCATTTAATTGAATTCCTGATGTCGTACTTCCGAGGTAGGTTATTATTCTCGGTAATGAAAAAAAAAGTTCTCTCATCTCATTTATGCTTATACTTAATCGGTATGGTTTCTTAACAATTTTAATATAATATGGAAAAATCTCCAATAATGTTTTTAAAAGTCGAACCGATTTTAAAACGGCTTACTCAATATTTTATTTAGAAAAATATTAAACAAGCCTGTTGGTAGAGTTGTTAATCGTTACCTTTAAAAGTAGCGCGCTACCGATTCGCTATTTGTCAAAAAAATTAACGCGCTACCGCTATTAGTTTTCAAAAGTAGCTTTAGCTACTTTTTAAGCTACTTTTTATAAAAAAAAATTAGAAACAAATTTGTATATTTTTTTGCTTATAATGTTATTGTATAGTAAATATATAAAAATCAAACATTTATAAATATTAAAATATAGTTAATTTTAATTATAAAAAAATTTATGTAATTAAAGATATTTATGATAATTTATTGCCTTTTATAAGCTTTTACCTAGTGTTATGTGTCCAACAATCTTCCGTGGTACATATATATGATATCTCCTATAACTCTACTATTAGAGCATCTTTCATCACTTTAAAGTTATCAGCCATTTTATTCATTAGTATCTGAAAATTGTTGTACTAGAGGATAGAGTTTAAATCATCATGGTATGATGAATTATCAACCAAGGATATTGGCTGAACTGTAACAATTATAAAATTAACAATAACTTTATCAGCCAATTTTTAAGAAATATTGGCATTTGGAATTAATTAATTTGATTTGAATTAGTCTTTTTAAATGTAGAGTCGCCTATACCAAAATTATTTAAATGTTTCTCCATTTCCTTAAAGCTCTTGTTATGAACCGTCTTATAAAATAAATACTATTAGAATGTAAAATTGACAATTTACCTTTTGGTGTTTCTTGAGTTTATAATTGGATTGATTTGAGGAAATATTTTTTTTACATTTTAAACAAATAAATTTAAAGCCAGTTTTGGTTTTTATAATTATTTAAATAAAAATTTCAAATCTAGGGAATGGGAAATTAGTATTATAGCTATTAAGATCGGATTCTTCATCGGTACACTTCTAATAAATAAAAACCTTTTCATATTTTTAGATTGCGAAGAGATTTGTAAAGCAATACCAAGGGTGAATTCGGAATGTACATGTCGACCAACTACATTAATCCCTTTAGTAATTAATGGCACAAAACCTTTAATCGTTACCCCGGTAGCAACCGTCACGCCTATAAAACCTAAAGAGACAGAAAAACCTATAACCATTAACCCGGCTGCAACCGTCACGCCTATAAAACCTAAAGACACAGAAAAACCTATAACCATTAACTCAGCTGCAACCGTCACGCCTATAAAACCTAAAGACACAGAAAAACCTGTAACTATTAACCCGGCTGCAACCGTCACGCCTATAAAACCTAAAGACACAGAAAAACCTATAACCATTAACTCAGCTGCAACCGTCACGCCTATAAAACCTAAAGACACAGAAAAACCTATAACCATTAACTCAGCTGCAACCGTCACGCCTATAAAACCTAAAGACACAGAAAAACCTGTAACTATTAACCCGGCTGCAACCGTTACGCCTATAAAACCTAAAGACACAGAAAAACCTGTAACCGGAAACCCAGTAGCAACCGTTACACCTATGAAAACTAAAGAAACAGACAAACCTAGAATCGTCGAACCGGAAATAATGACCATACCTTTAAAAATAACAGACCTAGACAAACCTTTAAATATCAAGTTGGATATTATTATTCAACCATCAATATCTTTAATTGTCAGCATGAAAATAATGATCAAAGACACTAGCAAACCTGAGATTACCCACCCGCCATCCATATCTACACTGGGACCTGTCACCATTCCTTCCAGGGGGCCTATCACCATTCCTACAATGGGACCTATCACCATTCCTACACAGGGACCTATCACCCTCCCTACACTGGGACCTACCATTCCTACACTACGACCTACCATTCCTACTCCTACATTGGGATCTATCACCTTTCCTACACTGGGACCTATCACCTTTCCTGCACTGCCTCCACTCATCATGCCTATGAAAACCAATGATGCAGTCTAAATTTTTGTTATCAAACTGTAGAAGAAACAACTTCCGAGAAAACTATTTAAATATTAGATGTTATATTTTAGTTTTAGATGTTACTATGCAAAGTAGTTTCTTTAATTCAAAAAATATTGTAAAAAAATTTTTTTAAAACATTTTATATTTAGTTTTAATATACAAATAAAGATTAACATCAAATTAGTGTCCACTATATTTTCAATTACATTTGTATTTCTCTCAAAAAGTACTATTTCCTTTGAAAAGCGACCTTTATCTATTTATTTTAAGACAGTGAATTTAATTCCACTTCCTCTTTTTCTCCGATGATAACTTCTCTTAAAAAAATTTTAATCCATTGTAACACCTATACCACGCCGTTGTTATAAATAAAAATCATCAAATAAATGGAAGCCATCGTAAATCTTATTAGATTATATAAAACCTCTTCAAAAAAGATGAATTAAGAAAAATTTGATCTATACGGTGAATAAAGGGACAATTAAAAATAAATAAATGAATTCTTTTTTAAAAAAAAATCATTTTAACTAGGATAGAATAATTTAATAAAATGAAAAGTAAATTAAAAATACTTTTACCCTAATTTTATGAATAACTTGATCTGTAAATTATATTATTTCTATTTTTGGTAGAAAGTGGCAATCAATAGAGTCATTAGGCGAGGGCGCACATGGGGCAAGCCCCCTTAAAAAATTTAAGAACCTCCCAAAAAATTTGAGAAATTTAGAGAAAATGACCTCATTAATGGCATATAAAAAACAAGAGAATCTGTTAATTACAAATAAAAAATTGATAAATTAACCCTATATTGCATGCATAAATAATGAAAAAATTAAATTTCAACTCATTAATTGTTACAATTCCTAGAAGCTGTTTAGAATTGATTGTGTGCACTAATAACACATCGCGTATAATCATACCGTTATTAGCTTTTGAGAAATTAACATTTTAATAATAAAAAAATATGATACATTGAACCTTTTATTTTAAAACATATATTATTTGTAATGAAGGTAAGTAGTTCCGTTTTATCGGTCCCAGACCGGAACGGGCAAGTCTTTTTTGGAGGACCGCAGTCTAGGTGAGTTTTTCTTAAATTACTTTTCAGTCACCGGTTATTTATTGATATTTAAATTTGTCTTACTATTCAATTTAGATAATTTTTTAGCAAAATTTATGTGTATTTTTATAGAGGTGTTTTCTTAGGTTTGCACTTATTTTTTTTTTAGGTCAAGTCTTCGCTAACACTTAAATGTGCCCATATTCCCGTATTTTATTAAGCGCATCAATAAAAAAAGGCATTATTTTCCAAAATGCATTTTTTTAAAAAATTTTACGCTAAGAAATAGCCTTACTTTATTAAATCTTTTTCAAAAAAAAGCATTAAATTTTTAAATTAAATATTTGTAATTATTTATATTATTCATATTTGATTCAGTGAAATGATTAAAACAATAATTTAATTTAAATAAATGCGAAAATATTTTTAAACAAAAATATTCAAGATTACCAGCTGGGCAGTATTTCGTTTAAGAACCGTTGTCCGGCTCATATGTGCCCGTCCGATCAAGACCTAAGAACGGACCATAAGGTTCAGTAATTAATAGAAATAATTACTATTAAGTAAACGCTATAAATATTTGAATTTTTGTAATCTGTCTCCACATATTATATTAAAATTTTGTTGAAAATCTATAAAACAATTATTTTTTCGTGTTAAACATCATAAGTAAAAGGCACATTTATAAAAAAATCTAAAAAAGATGAATTTAGCTATTTTATTTTATTTTTATGAATATCATAGACCTCGATGGTACCACATCCCTATCAAACCCGGATTAGAAAACAGCTTCAGCGCGACCCGGTTATTTTTTTAAAAATTGGGGTCCGGTACTGGTATATGTAGAAAAATAAAAATACGGGCCTGGCACCAGGGCTTGTGTTCAGCCTGCATGTCTCTAATATATATATATATATTACATATATAGAAAAAAAAAATATTTTATAATAAAATGGGAAACAAAATTAATATTCGAATTGAAAAAAAAATGTATATCGTTGCTTTCAATTACATAAAATGCAAATTAGCCATTTATATATAATTTCTAAAATATGGAATGAAATTTAATTATATGATTTTACCACAGGTTCGAATTTCTGATTTAAAGGATGAAAAAACCCAATGACATTTGAAAAAATTGATAAGGATATAACTGTTTTCGAACAATTAGAAAAACTATCCTTCCAATTAACTTTAAGAGGATTAGCTTAATCATATTTTGGGGAAGAGGAAGAAATAGTTTATATTTTAGCATATCGAATTATTTTTGTCTTGATTGTATTGTTATCATGCATTGTCTACTTTAAGGATTTTATCAAGACAGATTATACCAAATGCAATGAACTCAAAATGCCATTGTTTAGAATTTTATCAAGACAATAAGTATCTTTGGAATCAATGATACATGTAAGTGGAATCTCCTTATTCTTTGATTAAAAGTCAGTCTATATGGTAATTCCCCTAAATAGATATAAGGAGTACAACTATTAGTATCTATGTTCTTGCGCTCACTGAATCTCTCATGAATACTAAATAAAATCTTCTTTCTTTTCAAAAAAAAATAGGGAAAAGGATCTGCTATCTTTTTACTTATGACAAAGGCTTGATGCCGCTATAGTTTTTTTTATAATACTTTTAATATTTCCATTTTTAATCATCAATAAAAAACAATTCTCTTCTCAATATATTCTTCTTGTACCACCATCCTTTAAAATTTTTTCTTCTCAAGTTTTCTTTTTTTAAAAAATATTTTATAATTTTTATTACATTATGAAAATTTTAAAAACTAAGATATTTAAAAAAATCATTCTATAAAAAAGGGAATTAGGACTAAAAGTTTTTTAAAAAAAACATGTAAAATTTAATTTGAATTTATATTTTTTGTTTTAAAAAAATTTCCTTAGGTCCTGATGTATAAATTAAAAGATTTTTTCCAGAAGCATTAAATACTTTGCTCATACATGTCACAAAGGGACATCGATTGAAATCTCGAGGCTTAGATAATATTTTTCTAAAGGTTGAATTAGCCTTTTTGACTCAAATCCAACTTTTAAACATTAGTCTATCTTGATTTTTTTCGGATCAACCAGATTCGGATTAACATTTTTTGGATAGGAAGTGGACCCTGCAAAGGCGCAATTATGTATTTAGCATCGAATGATAAATTAGCAGGTCCCATGATGTTCGATATTCGCGCCCTTATAATACTGGGTACTAATTTTTAAATTAATCACCGAATGCCTTTCATATCTGCCTTGATTATATTCACAATCAAGACAAGATCATGTTTCCCTTTGGAATCAGTGATAATGTATAGCTTTAAAAGTTGCCCATCTTTTATTATTTTTTATTAAAATAACATCTGTAAATTGTCCGTATGTATCAAATATATCGCCAATTATAAGTAGCCTCTGTGGCCTATTAGGTAATTGCTGATATCATCTACTCCATAGACCTTGGCTCGAATCCAAGAAGGTGGTAATTTTTAGAAGCCACCTATGTCGTTGTGTAATACGGAGTATGATAGAGGGACCGCATGATTCGCTTAATTATATACATTAAAATAATAATGTTTAATAATATTTTAATAAAATTCAGTAGTTGTTTAGAAAAGTGATATATGATAGACCAATATCATTATCATTTTTTTTATCTTATACATGTATGAAATTGAACGATGTTCCTATTAGGTGGCCCATGACAACTACTGACTGTGAATAATAAATATAGGGAAAAATGAATAATTTAAAAAGGAATAAAAAAATAATATCGATAGTTCAGAGGAATTCTAAATTCAAAAATTGAGACATATTTGAAATTCTTACTTTTTCTTGTAACCTATCGTTTTCTTTAAAGCATAAATTTTTTTGTAAAGAGCATCCATTCAAAAGGTTTGAATATTATATAACCAAAATTATTCTGGGAACTAAATTCAATAAATATTTGTTTTAAGAAAATCTTACTTATTATATAGCATTCAGAATTTTACCAATTTCATAAATATTATTCAAAGGTATAATTTATTACCCTTGTCGTAATTATTTATAAAATTACCATAAAACGAACATAAAAAGCTTAGTAACCAAATTTATCACATATTTTTTTAAAAATTTGATATCTATATATTTTTTCTCATTTCGTTAAATTGTTAATCCCGTAGGTGTAAAATGTCTTGACTAAAAACTATTTATAAGGTTATATAAATATCGAATAGGTAATTTATTTTTGTATTTTATCTTTCTCCATCTAACATTATTCTAAGTTTTAATATTAAAAGTTAAAAAAAAATGAAATATTTTATAGTAGTTTTATTCTTAAATGTGGTGATTAATTTATTTATTTTAAGAACTTATAATCAGAGCATACGTAAGTTATTATAAGAATATTATCTGTAATTATTTAACCAATTTTACGCATTCTAGATATTTTTTTTAAAATATTTAATTTTCTTATTGACTGACTTTAAATTATTTACAAAATTGTAAAATTAACTTATTTCATCGCCAGAATGCAAGGAGATTTGCAAAATAGTCTCTAAAGTCTCCGCATTACAGGAAATGACAGTTTTCGCGGAATGTAATTGCACTCATCTCAACTCTACCCCCATTGTTAAACACGCCGTTACCATTTCTACCACCAGTGTAATAGGAACAACAAAACATTCATCACCTAAACCTATAATAACTATTAAAACTTCAATCAAGCATTCGACGACTAGTGCAACAGCCAAACATTCAGCTATTAAAATTAATACAGCAGTCAAATCTCCAATAACCAAACATTCAACAACTAATCCAGCAACCAAAGCGTCATCTATCAAAATCAAGACATTAGCCAAATCTTCAGAAATAAAACGTTCAACACTCCACAATATATCTACTACCTTGGCGGTCAATTCCAAGACTAATCCAATAATTACTACCATTAATTTTACCTA